AAAGTTTATGCTCGGGTGAGATGTATATTATATATATTAGTGGGTCACGTTCAAGTCAACAACTTTAATTTTCAGTTGATCATATTTTCATAATGTCTACTTATAGGTCAAATATATTTTTAAACATACGATTTAAAAATTACACCGAACCGAATCGAATACATTTGATTAAATAATTATAAAATAAAATTAAAATTATATCCGAACTCGTCGTAGATTATTCTATTTCAATAATAACCTAATTTTTAATCGAGATTATGATTCATTTCAATAGAATACAATTTTTAAGGTTATTGTTATTAAAAAAAAAATTATGTTTCGAATATTTATAAATTTAAAGACATAGAGAAAAAACTACGAGATAAAAAATGAAAAATTTTGCAAGCGCTTCCTATTAAATGATACAAATGAAATGAATAATAACACGCATAAAAAATAAGAACAATCTACCGACCAAAAACTAGGATGAGCAACAAAATACAAAGCGAACGAAATCAAAACTGAATACCAGATTCATCCTGATTGATGCTAGCTAGCACAACAATGGCTAAAAAATGAAGCAAAGGATATCTATATATATATTATACAAGAAAACAATGTGAAATGACTGGTTGTTCATCATTCAGCAGCTGAATTTTCGTACTACCATGGATTGAATTCGGTGGATTTAATATCAGTCACTTCAATGCTATCCGAGCAATCTATAGCAGCCCGGTGTTCGGTATACTTGCCATTGTATTGATACACTTCGAGGTCTCCCCAGGGCGTGGGGGTGATTTCACTTGTAAGATCAAACCATTTTGGGGCGAAAGGATGGCCCTCTGCCTCTCGATTTCTCTTTTCAGCTCTCTGCCTCTCCTCGAGACTGAAACGAAACAACACTCCAGGTTAGATTCTCATTCACATTCTTGAAATAGGAATACAATGCTAACCAACCAAACACGCTCATCGGTGGCTTCAATCTCCACTCAGCCTCTTGAAAGTAAAAAGAAAAGCAGACCATAATCCTCTGTTTTAATGTCTTTGATTAATCCATATTTTACCCTCCTCTCTCCCTCAAAACTAAAAGAAAACAGATCTAGGCTTGATGTCTTTGACCCCTCAATTGTGTGAATTCACGACCGCGTGCACGGAGATGAAACAAGGATTGAAAAACTGAAATATGAGACAAACCTGCTCTTCTCAAAACCAGCTTTTGACATGTCACCAATCTCCAGGGCATATCTATCAGGGCGTAAACGTGAATCCGATGCTAATAACTTCTTTGGAGCAGTGTCAAAGCTGTTTAGCTTGTGTGCAAAATATGTATACTGGAATTTGTCCTCCTTTGGAGCATCAGCTACCCTCCAGACCTGTAGAACACAATTGTAAACAATCTTTACTCGGCATGCTTACTTTTTCCTATTCAAATTTGTATCAGTTAAAAGAAACAGAATTTCTTATGAATTTATTCAGCACAGAAATATGCAAGCAAACACATAAACTCCCACTGGCCATATATGCCAATCTGTAGTGAAAAAGAATACTTGAAAATCCTTGCAAAAAGAGGATGATTAATTTTTAGAGAACGTAGCATCATGTTAGAAATATGTTTCAACGCGGACAACCTCCCCCATTTTATTTGAGAAGTATCTATTTCATTAGCTTGCAATAATTGATTGGATATTATACCAGGAACAAGTGTTTAGATTTTCAGTTCCTAAGAAAATGGCAATAGCACACCCGTAACAGACTTTCATAAGTGCTTCCTATATTACGAGTTTCTGGAATGAAAAATTTTCAGTTTCTATAAAAGCATTGAATCTAGCAAAGGGAACTTTAGGAGTTTCATGTAGACAATTCACAACAATTGTTTTCTCTTGACAAACATCACCAGATGCAAGTATTCAGTCCACAATTTCATAAAAAAAGAAGGTTTCTTCTTTCCAATTCCATCAATAAGAGGGGCCTATAAAAGAAGGGAAGTATCTAGTCCAAGAAAAGGAACACAAGGTTTTGTTGCTCCTACTGTAAATATCACCTGGATTAAATAGTCTAATCACTTGCTCTTCAGGAAATGATAATTGTCACTTCAATGAAGCCACATTAATATCTAGCTCTGACGGCAAAACTCAAAAGACAAGGTACCTCAAACAACTGAATATTAAGCATACATCAAGGTAGCAGCATGAGAATATTTTCCAATTGAGATTCTCAAAATAAAATGAAAATATGCATATTGAACAAAGAATAACAGACATATATTGCATGTCATTCACATATCTAATTGATGCCACCTCAAAATTGCATGAAAATGTCAAAGGATCACAAAGTTAAACTCTTCCTGATGGAAAAATATTTAGATCCATTAGAAAAGCCATAAAAAAACATTAATGCAACAAGTGTAAAACACAACAGCGACAGCCTAGATTACACAATGGAAAAACAAATGCAATATGTTAGATACTAAAGGTGGTTTCATACTCCTATTCTGGACATTTACAGGGCACTGTCTATATGATAGTGAAAACTCAATATTGTCTTTTTTACTGAAGAGTGTTGAAAATCTACTTGGATGTGTAAATAAATGGCATGTAGCAGATCCAAAAGGAAAGCAACCAGATATATAAATATTCCAACCTCCTTCAGTTCAGTGCCTGGAAGAGGTTCCCCTTCCATATCACAAGGTTGATAACTCATTGACTCATTCCATTTCCCAGTCATCAGTATCTTGGGTTCCTCAGCAGCATTGTACACATAGCCATCCACTTCATAGCGACCAGCTCTGCCAATGGAAAAAATTCCAAGTTAAAGTGGAAAAAGAAAGCTTATAGACATAGATGGATGTAAAACAACACTAGCAGGACCTCAGCTAGAGCATGAAAACTTGTCATCACTCTTATCAAGTATCCATTCACTTTCTTTGAATCTAGAAGTTCAAGTAAAGATTTATGGAACACTTTTTTAGATATTATGTTATATAACGCAGAACACTTTTTCTTTCCAACTTTTCATGCCAAGGATGACATAATGACTATAGGTGAAAGTGCATGGACTTGGGGATAATACTTAAATTGCCTAAGTAAATAAAAGTAATCATTACCCGAACCAGCCACATGGTTGAAAACATAGAACAGCTTTGTCCCCGGTGGTCAAGTTTGTCATGATCATTTCCCCTGACGTGTCAACCCAAGTTCGTCCAAAGATTAAGTTGGTAACTTTTGTGGGAGGAGGTACCAAATCAAGAACCACACCATCTCTTTTAAGAGTTACGCGTGTCCTGTACAAATTAAGCACATTTACAATTTACAGAGTTGTTTCTCATGAAGGAAACCAAGAAAAACAAATAACATATTATAATTATAACACATCATGATTTAAATTATTAGAAAATTCCATGGCAGGATTGACCCAAACAACATGCAAAAAAAGAAACAGGGAACCTGAGAAGGTACAGTTGATTGACATAACATCACAGAACAACAAGAATTAGGAACAAACTCCAAAGAAACAAGGAAATTTGAAGCCTGCCAAGAATGGAAAAAAACATGGGTTCGAACTTCTATTGTTTTCCTGCCATTGACATTTTCTTTCAATCCCACTACATATTGAAGTATACAAAATCACCCAACCATACTGGCCTTTTGATCGTACTTTCATAGACTAAATCAATTAATCTGCTTCTCAATGCAAGACAAAGGCACTATGCCTTGAACCTAAAATCTTAACCCAAAACCACAATCTGTTGATGGTATTTGTAGAAATTCAAAATACAAAACATTTGTAGCCATAGAAGTCGCTAAATGTCTTTTACCTTCCAACTGGATAGATATCGATTGAGTTCCCCAAGAATTTGCTTTTCAACTTGGAAGTCACGTCGTAAGTAAAATGCTCGTTTTCTGCATGACCAGCACTCATTGGCGGATGATGACTTACCTAAAGCAAATATAAAACTGTGAAGAGCTGGAAAGAGAGTGCTGGGAAGCTACAGAAGAACTAGAAAAATTGCTGGTCCAAGATATCAAACTTAACTCCACTAAAGTTTATGTTTAAAAAAGAGAATGCGTCCATGTTATCACCGAGAAGCATCACAACAGAAGAAACTAAAAGGAAATTCACGCCCTGGGATCTTACCTGCTCAGATATAAATGTAATGCCACCATGATTAACCATTTCATAGGTCTCTCCAAGAATTGGATTAAATGGCTTCCAAGTACGTTGATATGCATAGTAGACAGATATAGCCCATGATGCTGCAGAAAACAACAGTTAGTCCCATGCATAATAACTAGAACAAAAACAAGAGAGAGAGAGAGATGCAACAGGATGCTTACTGGAATACACTAATCGCATGTAGGGATCCTCACATTTGTCAGCCATGTCTAGCAGGTATGAATATTCCATCAACTGTCAGAAACAATATATATTCTGTGACATTCCATCAACTAAATTAAAAGGAAAAAAGCACTTGGCTTCAATTGTCATATCATGAACCTCTGCTATCTTCTGTAGCGTCGTCATTGGCTCAGAAATAATAACTGGAAGTGTCACCATTGATGTAACATCAGATCCTATATACTTTTGCATCATCTTCCAGTAGCTGTCACTATCCTGGAAGAAGGAAAAGGATATTAATAAACAATTAGAAAGCTTTATAAGTTCTAGAGATTTTCAACTATTTTTCACCATATAAGAAAAAGTGACTTCCACACTACTATAAGCAAGCTAAACAATCAAGTTCCACGTCCAGCCATTGAGACATAGGTTCAATTACTCAGATGACTTAAACTGTATTTCATATCAAATTTCTATCCATAAGTGTCAAACAATCAAGATAACTACTGTACCTCCTGCTTCCACCTTCCTCTCTTTGCTTCCTCTTCAGCGTCCTCCGTGCCTCCCTCTGGATTAATAACTTGCAGTCCCTCATAGCCCAGCAAACTACATAAAAGACGCACCAAAAGCTGTCAAATAAGCAGAATCTTCCACTCACAAGACCAGCAGATCAATCCATCAATTACTACCCTACTCACTTTAAAACAAAAGAAAAACCTTGAGTTATAACAAGAATTTGAATTTTCGCAAATTAATTTAATAAACTTTAAAAATTCTTTCAAAGAAAAAAAAAAAAAAACATCAGCAGTGATTCATGCTCAAATAATCAAATCCAACCCAGAACCAAGAGAAATCAATCAAGCGAAATTCGAAGACAACAAAAATCTCTCTCCACAAATCAGCGAAAGTTCATACACGAGCATGAAGAAGGATTAGAATTGATTTCAAAAACCACAGACGGATCACGATTCAGTGAAATAACAAATTAGAAGAGGGATCCAAATTGGAATTACCCGTTGACTGATTTGGTCATGACGCTACCAAAACTAGACAAACTGGAAGCAATCGATGCGAAGAAACCGCCACCTTGCTTAGGATCATTAGGAGCCATTTCCTTTCTCGAATCAACCCTACTCCCTCGGCAGCTCCTTCGAGCAACGAAGCAAAATCAATAAAAAAAAAAAAAAAAAGATGATAGAGAGAAAAAACACCTGCGTATATCTGTTCGAGAGTAGATTTTCAGAAAAGGTTTTCTTCAAAAAATTTCTTCGTACAGTCTCTGATTTCCATTTTTATAAGAAGAACAGGGAGGAAAGACGCTCTCCTGGTTGGCGGTTCTTCCATTTGAAGTCAAAAAAGATAATTCGTCTTCTGTGCTGTCATGGTTTCTCTCAGTTCCCCACGCGTTTAATTGAGAGCGTGGGTCTAGGATTTCATTAAAAGAACTCGTTTCAAATTGAAATTTCCGCATCCCTCCAATAAAAGATGAATTTAGGCGGCTCTCGCGGAAAGGTATCCACGCGCCTCCCTGGTTACTTCAACTCACGCGCGGACCAAAGCTTAGCCGGCAAGGCAAATAATTCAATCAACCAAACTTCTTCTTATTTGTTTTTTTTCCTTAGAATTTTTTTAGGGTTAAAAAAAAAGTGATATACATAGATATATATATATATATATATACACACACACACACACATTTCAAATACTCTTATTTTATATTTACATTTACTACTAAAGCATATAATTATAACTCTCTTTTTAAAGTAATTATTATTTTTTTTTACCATACATAAATTTTCCCCAATACTTTTTTATAATAAATTCTATATCTCATTACTCCATATCGAGTCTAAGTATTTTACAATTGATAATATTTTTACGTCTATTTATAAACAATATTTTGAATCGTAAATATTATAATTGATAGTAGTGCGTAAGTAAGTGTTAAGATTTTATTATATATTTAAGAATTATTAATTATGAATTAACTATTATTTAATTTAATAGTTATACAGTAGTAGAGTAGCGATGTCTTAATCATAAAACAGTGGTGTCTTAATCATGAAATAATTATCTCTTAATATCGGTAATTATAAATTAGTGGGTTAGTGATTCTCTTAACGGGTTAGTGTCTGTAATTTATTTTTATCGTATTTAAGCGGATTAATCCTATCAGTAAAAATAACTTGAGTTCAGTTTAATTTTCTATTATTCTATTTCTACAAAAAAATAAAATAAAATAATTTACGATTAAAATTTTTATATTCAGATATTATCCGAACTCGAAGTTTATAGATCTTAAATAAAAATAGTGCATCGTAATATACGTGAAACACATTTATATAGAGTGGAATGTTGGGTTAAGATACGATCCGAACTTAGTTGGCCAATGGATGTGAAATCATGTGCTTACAATAGTGTTCCAATATTCTCTAATAAAGTGTGTATTTTCTATTCTTTTAAATATATAATTTTATGTAATTATGTTAAATATATGTATCGTTCTTCTAAAACATTCATACTAAGTTATATATATATATATATATAGAGAGAGAAGATTGTGAGTAGTCCAAGGGTGGACGACCCTATCAAATATGCTGTTTAAGAGTTTCTCTAGCCGTGGAGGGATTGAATTTTGGCGAGAAAGAATTTGCTATAAAGTATCATGCAAGAGGGTATGTAAATATATGTATGTATGTATATATATATATATATATATATATATATAGGGGTGATGGAAACTTGGGTAGGGATTATAAGCACATGATTTCATATCCATTGGCTGATCATACTTTAACAACATTCCATTTTTTTTCATAATACCCAAATGTGTTTCACATGTATCACCATGCACTTCCTGTTTACGGTTCATACGCTTGAA